CTTTCCACGCAAGTGGCAGCTACAGAAAGCTATAGGGTTGTCGGTACAGCAACATTTTGATGGGCATTTTAATGGCAGCAAGCTAAAAACGAAACAAGCGGAGGAGGAATTTGAATAGAATGATCTCTTTTCTGCTGAGAACATCATTAAAACCAGATCAGCATTGGTGTGCTACTATAGACTGAGACCACAATGTATGGCCTTAGACCATTAACCTCTCTCTAACACACACACACACACACACCGGCAGTAGATAGATAGATAGAGTTCTGTCTGTAGCATTTATAGACCCAGGGTCACAGAGGAGTCTTTATATTGGGCTGAAGATGAAAGCAGATGGATTATAGTAGCAGACATTGTGAACTGTTCTGCGGCTCTGCCAAGTGGATCGATGCATGGTTTCTCTAACCCTCCTCCACTCCTTTCACAAAGAACCGCTTATGCATCTGTTTTTCCATGTGATAGGTCTAAAAGTTTTAGGTGGATTAGAAGAACCACTGGCATAACCCCATCCTTATGAAGGATGCCCCTCTAAAACTGGCCAATAGGAAAGGCTTTGTTCATGTGTGTGTATATCAGGCTGTCTTCCTGTTTAGCCTATGTACTTCCTGTGTTCATATGGAACTCATTTCTTCCACTGTGACAGAGAACAGAGCAGCTAGACAGCTTCTACTGTGTGTGATTGGAAGGCTTTTGCTGTGATGTCCACCCATTGGAACATCAGGCTGGCTGAAAAGGGAGTCGCCAACACCAACACACAACTTAGTCAGTCCATCCTTCAGTCCGGCCACCTGTCTGTCAGTCTGTCTGTCCGTCCGTCCGAGTTATATTACTGAAGGTCATTAGGTGATGTAACAGGTCTGGGACCGTCGAAGGCCGCATATTGCTTATTAGCGGCAGCAGTCTGGCTAGCAGTCTGCACATGTATGTGTGTGAGAGAGGGAGCAGGCAGGACACACAGCACAGAGGGAGGCCCTGTGCGGCTAGCTGCAGAGTTTGGGCTGAGGGATGGTCACCATGTGGACTAGAGGTCATCCCGGGTCCAAGAAGTTGGACCAGTTCCGAAATCGATCCATGGCTTTACCACCCGACTCGCAATATGCATCAATTATTTATTTGTAAATAGAGACCCGTTCCGAATGGACCCGAGGACAGTCAGACCCATTCTGAAAAGGACCGTGGAAAACAGACCCGTTCAGATCTGAGAGGAGAAATAGGGAGAGAAAGAAACCTCCAACTGGGCGCTGCCAGCGCCATCAATAAACAAGCCATATTGGCCAAATGATCCACAGTTACATGTCTTTAAAAACGGCCAATAACAAATTACAAGAAAACAATTTGTTGTGTTTCAATGTGTAGCATATTCAAAACTGTACTGTTTTTTACTTTCCTAAAGCAATAATTGTCTAGCTCACGTTTTAGCTGTCAGAGATTTGAGCGCTAAATGCAAGTTTAGGCCTAGCCCTGGAGAGACCGAGAGAAAGATGGAGATATGCCGGCGCCATGTTCCCGTCATCGACATGGATTTCTTTATACTTGTCAGATAGGCTACAACTGCTATACAGATATTGGAATATACACTACATGGGAAGGCTTTCCACTAGATGTTGGAACATTGCTGCGGGGACTTGCTTCCATTCAGCCACAAGAGAATTAGTGAGGTCGGGCACTGACATTCATCCCAAAGGTGTTCGATGGAGTTGAGGTCATGGCTCTGTGCAGGCCAGTCAAGTTCTTCCACACCGATCTCGACAAACCATTTCTGTATAGACCTTGCTTTGTACACGGGGGCATTGTCATGCTGAAACAGGAAAGGTCCTTCCCCAAACTGTTGCCACAAAGTTGGAAGAACAGAATCGTCTAGAATGTCATTGTATGCTATAGAGTTAAGATTTCCCTTCACTGGAAGGGGCCTAGCCCAAACCATGAGAAACCGCCCCAGACCATTATTGATCCTCCACCAAACCTTACAGTTGGCACTATGCATTCAGGCAGGTAGCGTTCTCCTGGCGGCCGCCAAACCCAGATTTGTCTGTCGGACTGCCAGATGGTGAAGTGTGATTCATCATTCCAGAGAACGCATTTCCACTTCTCCAGAGTCCAATGGCGGCGAGCTTTACAGCACTCCAGCCGACGCTTGGCATTGCGCATGGTGATCTTAGGCTTGTGTGCAGCTGCTCGGCCATGGAAACTCATTTCATGAAGCTCCTGACGAACAGTTATTGTGCTGACGTTGCTTCCAGAGGCAGTTTGGAACTCGGTAGTGAGTGTTTCAAACGAGGACAGACGATTTTTACGCGCTTCAGCACTCAGCGGTCCCGTTCTGTGAGCTTGTGTGGCCTACCACTTCGCGGCTGAGCCGTTGTTGCTCCTAGATGTTTCCACTTCACAATAACATCACTTACAGTTGACCGGGGTAGCTCTAGCAGGGCAGAAATTTGACTAACTGACTTGTTGGAAAGGTGGCATCCTATGACGGTGCCACGTTGAAAGTCACTGAGCTCTTCAGTATGGGCCATTCTACTTCCAATGTTTGTCTATGGAGATTGTATGGCTGTGTACTCGATTTTACACACCTGCCAGCAACAGGTGTGGCTGAAATAAATGAATCCACTAATTTGAAGGTGTGTCCAGATACTTTTGTCCATGTAGTGTATATTGTTTGATTAAAGGAGTAATTCTGGTAGGCGTAAAACATTATTCAGTTGGAGTGCCGGTGCGCACTGCCTTCATAGGCCTGAAGCAGCTATGCCTAATTATAGCCATACCAAACCAAACCTTCACAAAAGTTGCTTAACTTTATTAGGGTTATATCAAAAGTAAGTAAAGTAATTGTTTATAGGGAAAATACGAACAGGTTATTATATTGCGGCATTAAAAGTTTAGCCTCGTGCCCTCTTATTGGTTTTTCTTTTCATGGTTTGAGTGAAAGTAGCATAGTAGGCCTACCGGTAATAACATTATATTGCGGCAAACACAACATTACAGCTGGAACTTAATTTGCCCAACGAAAATAGCTTAACAGAATGAAATCTTCAAAAAAGTTTTGAACAGCCTTATATTGCAGCTATTACCAACAAAGGTATTTGCCTACCCAACAAATGACAGCAATAGGATAATGCTATTTATTTTACAACAGGCTTATAATAATAATTATTATTATAAATGACTAAACAGTTGAAAATAAATACGAAAATAAATAAATGAAAGGTAGAAAATTGCATCAAACCTGAATAGCGAGTTGCACACAGTCCATTTGGCCGCGCCAAAACTTATCCCAGAGGACATTCCCCTTGTCAGCTATTTTTCACTATGCTCTTTCTCCTCTAACTTTCATTTTACTTCAATGAAAAAATAACTCTATCTTCGCAATCAACAGTAGCCCAGGCCAAGGCTCCTTTCACTCTCTCTCTCGCTCTCTCCTCAGCAGCAGGCGCACGTGTGGTGAGCAGCTGGAACCAGTTGCAGCTGGATATAAGCTATACGTTTTATTGAGTTGCAATTAGCTGCCACAGATAACAAGCTTGCACAGTTCTCATCACACAAACAGTAAATTAACAGAGGACAGGTCCAATCCGGTCCATTCGGTAAATACATTTTAATTGCACATACCTGAGTCCCGTAGCAATTGTATCAGACCGGACACAGATCCGAGACAAAAGTCAGAATTTAGGACCAGGACCCGCTCAGGTGCCGGGTTGGATCTGGGAATTTAGGCTCTGTTGGACCCGTGAAGACCTTTAATGTGGACCCTCTCAGGGGTGTGGCCACGGCATCTGTCTGACCAATCAGTGCTGGCTGTGAGTCCAGGGGGTGGGGTTATGGGAGGAGTTACTGACTGGGGTCTCAGTGATAGTTATCGGCTAGGTGTGTGTGTAGACCAGCAGTAGAACCACCAGTACACATCTACAGCAGAGCAGCACTGAAGGAGGAGAATATGCCAAACAGGTTGGATGATTTTGTTTTTCTAATCTTCTGTTTGGTGTTGTGTCAGTTGTTCAAATTTTTGTGTCAGTTGTTCTCGCATGAGAGTATATAAAAATATTACTAGTTGTAATGTTTAGCTTAGCTTAGCCAATGAGAGCGCTCCACACTCTACCTCGTAGTGTTTAGAAGACAGTTTCAAGTGTTATTTTTCCTGATTGGCAATGCTTCCTAGGTCTAACAAAGGGGGTGCCTAATGCTATAGGATGTAAATATTATGTTCCTCTTCTGAATTGTAATGTAACTGTAGTGTTGAACAGGTTAAACAGTAGCCCTGGGAAAGGTTGGCACTCTCACTATGGAAATGTTGAGCACTACAGACATTTGTCACAAAACACTGACGCTACTACCATTGTTAAGAGTCATATTATACTTTATTACCAGAGGACAAGGTTGTGTGTGGATGTGTGTGTATGTGCTTGCATGCGTGTATGTGCATACATCTGTGTGTGTCCTCTGATCTTGTGTTTACTCCAGAGGTGAAGAGGGTCTCTTCCTCATTCTGACTCACACTGATGACTCCAAGTTGTTTTTCAGTTGGTCTGTAGTAGGCCATGGGAATGTTATACTGTTATAGTGTAATGGTTTATGTGTTTGAAGAGGCAACATGTGTTTCAGAAGTTGCTTTACAATAGCAGCTGAAAGTGGTTTTCAGGACGGGAGTTGAGAGTGAAGACTTTGACATGTTGCAAAAAGCATAAACTAGCCAAAGTTGCAATGCCAAAGACCCTGCTGTGGTCCTTGAAAAACAGATAGTTACAAGCCTAACCCCAAATCCTAACCTTAACCGTTAGGTGGATCTGAAGAAATCTGATCCTCTATCAATGTCTATAAACTTACATACTGTTGTTCCCCTGCCTGCCATGAGTGAATGGATGGATGACGTTATTTGGGTCTTCCTAATGATAACCTGATGTGCAGATCTAACTGTATAGTCATTCCTCCATAACCTCAGCATGTGTATGTATGAGTGTTTGACCTACAGTTCTCCCCAGGGAGTGGGAGAGAGAAGAGGAATGGAGAGAGACAGGGAGGAAGGGAGGGAGAGTGAGTGATTGAGAGACCCCCATGCACCATCCACCACCCAGAATTAACCACCTCGTCGTCCGGGAGACACTTACCGTAGACATGGCATTACCATAGATACACAGATAGTTTCCTGTCAATGGTAGTGTGCTGAGGGACTCCCTGCTGTTGAGACTGTGTATCACTGTGACATATTTGTGTCCTCTGTAGTGCAGATGAAGTGTAGCGGGGGTGGTATTGCGTACACACACGCACCCATACACACACAGACGCACCCAAGGGTTTGTAAGTTTAGGGTCACTGGTTTTAAGTCTAGGGTCACTGGTTCAGTGCAGCTGGCAGGGGGGCTTATTAGGTATCATTGTGTGTGTTAATGCTGAGCGATTAACCGTAATATCTGTTATTTTTCGTTTTTTAAACAACTAAATGACCGAAGTCAGTGAAATTATTTAAATTGTAATTTTGTTCTGTTTTTTTATGTGAGCTCAATGCGCACACTACGCAGTTTCTCTAGAGATAAGTCAGATCAAGCCCGAACTGTGCAATGTAGTAGGGAGTTGTAGTTTCCAACAGGCCAATATTCTACATAGTTTATCGTAGAAAACTTTGTAATTAACTTCAATGACCATAATCCATTGTGCGCCTATTTGTCCAGTCTGTGTGTTTATTTTATGCCTGCTATGTTAGGTTAGTGTCGGGCAGACACAGAGAGAAGAGAGAAGAATGCATGATGGCGAGGGATAGAGATAGAGAGCATTTGCTTTGCGAGTTATCGCTACCTGAAAATACATGATCTAAGTGATTGATAGTTGATATTCAGCAGTCATAAAAGTATGCCTTATTTACTTGCAAAGAAAAAGCCATATCTCAGACTGGCCAATAAAAAGAAAAGACTCTGCCTAGAAGGTCAGCATCCCGGGTTTTGCGGGTACTATTTAATGAAGCTGCCAGTTGAGGACCTGTGAGGCGTCTGTTTCTCAAACTAGACACTCTAATGTATTTGTCCTCTTGCTCAGTTGTGCACCGGGGCCTCCCACTCCTCTTTCTATTCTGGTTAGAGCCAATTTGCGCTGTTCTGTGGAAGGGACTAGGACACAGCGTTGTACGAGATCTTCAGTTTCTTGGCAATTTCTCGCATGGAATAGCCTTAATTTCTCAGAACAAGAATAGATGGACGAGTTTCAGAAGAAAGTTCTTTGTTTCTGGCCATTTTGAGCCTGTAATCGAACCCACAATTGCTGATGCTCCAGATACTCAACTAGTCTCAAGAATGCCAGTTTTATTGCTTCTTTAATCAGCACAGCAGTTTTCAGCTGTGCTAACATAATTGCAAAAGGGTTTTCTAATGATCAATTAGCCTTTTAAAATGATAAACTTGGATTAGCAAATACAACGTGCCATTGGAACAAAGGACTGATGGTTGTTGATAATGGGCCTCTGTACGCCTATGTAGATATTTCATTAAAAATCAGCCGTTTCCAGCTACAATAGCCATTTACAACATTAACAATGTCTACACTGTATTTCTGATCAATTTGATGTTATTTTAATGGTTTTTCTTTCGAAAACAAGGACACTTCTAAGTGACCCCAAACTTTTGAACGGTAGTGTATATACAGTACCAGTCAAAAGTTTGGACACACCTACTCAATCAAGGGTTTTTGTTTATTTTTACTATTTTCTACATTGTAGAATAATAGTGAAGACATCAAAACTATGAAATAACACATATGGAATCATGTACTAACCAAAAAAGTGTTAAACAAATCAAAATATATTTTATATTTGAGACTCTTCAAATAACCACCCTTTGCCTTGATGACAGCTTTGCACACTCTTGGCATTCTCTCAACCAGCTTCACCTGGAATGCTTTTCCAACAGTCTTGAAGAGTTCACACATATGCTGAGCACTTGTTGGCTGCTTTTCCTTCACTCTGCCGTCCGACTCATCCCAAACCATCTCAATTGGGTTGAGATTGGGTGATTGTGGAGGCCAGGTCATCTGATGCAGCACTCCATCACTCTCCTTCTTGGTAAAATAGCCCTTACACAGCCTGGAGGTGTGTTGGGTCATTGTCCTGTTGAAAAACAAATGATAGTCCCACTAAGCGCAAACCAGAAGGGATGGCGTATCGCTGCAGAATGCTGTGGTAGCCATGCTGGTTAAGTGTGCCTTGAATTCTAAATAAATCACAGACAGTATCACCAGCAAAGCACCCCCACACCATAACACCTCCTCCTCTCTGCTTTATGGTGGGAAATTCACATGCGGAGATCATCTGTTCACCCACACCACGGCGGTTGGAACCAGAAATCTCCAATTTGGACTCCAGACCAAAGGACACATTTCCACCGGTCTAATGTCCTTTGCTTGTGTTTCTTGGCCCAAGCAGGTATCTTCTTCTTATTGGTGACCTTTAGTAGTGGTTTCTTTGCAGCAATTTGACCATGAAGGCCTGATTCACACAGTCCCCATTGAACAATTGAGGTTGAGATGTGTCTGTGACTTGAACTCTGTGAAGCATTTATTTGGGCTGCAATTTCTGAGGCTGGTAACTCTAATGAACTTATCCTCTGCAGCAGAGGTAACTCTGGGTCTTCCATTCCTGTGGCGGTCCTCATGAGAGCCAGCGGTTGATGGTTTTTGCGACTGCACTTGAAGTAACTTTCAATGTTCTTGAAATGTTCCGTATTGACTGACCTTCATGTCTTAAGGTAATGATGGACTGTCATTTCTCTTTGCTTATTTGAGCTGTTCTTGCCATAATATGGACTTAGTCTTTTACCAAATAGGGCTATCTTTTGTACACCCCCCCCCCCCCCCCCACACACACACACACACACCTTGTCACAACACAACTGATTGGCTCAAACGCATTAAGAAGGAAATAAATTCCACACATTTGAAGAAGGCACACCTGTTAATTGAAATGCATTCCAGGTGACTACCTCATGAAGCTGGTTGAGAGAATGCCAAGAGTGTGCAAAGCTGTCATCAAGGCAAAGGGTGGCTATTTGAAGAATCTCAAATATAAATATATTTTGATTTGTTTAACACTTTTTTAGTTACTACATGATTCCATATGTGTTAATTCCTAGTTGTGATGTCTTCACTATTATTCTACAATGTAGAAAATAGTAAAAATAAAGAAAAACCCTTGAATGAGTAGGTGTGTCCAAACTTGTGACTGGTATTGTACAGTCGTGGTCAAAAGTTTTGAGAAAATGAACTTAATCCCCAAAAATATTTCCACTGCATTTCAGCCCTGCCACAAAAGGACGGGGAACAAAACATTGACATTTTGGGTCCATGGCCAGGAAACTCCCCAGACCTTAATCCCATTGAGAACTTGTGGTCGATCCTCAAGAGGCGGGTGGACAAACAAAACCCCACAAATTCTGACCAACTCCAAGCATTGATTATGCAAGAATGGGCTGCCATCAGTCAGGATGTGGTCCAGAAGTTAATTGACAGCATGCCAGGGGGTGGATTGCAGAGGTCTTGAAAAAGAAGGGTCAACACTGCAAATATTGACTCTTTGCATAAACTTAATGTAATTGTCAATAAAAGCCTTTGACACTTATGGAATGCTTGTAATTATACGTCAGTATACCATAGTAACATCTGACAAAAATATCTCATAACACTGAAGCAGCGAACTTTGTGAAGACCAATACTTGTGTCATTCTCAAAACTTTTGACTTTTGATACTTTATTATTTATATATACTTTATTATTTATTTATTTTACACAAGGCCCGCACTGGGGGAAAAAAAATTAGCGTTTATCTTTATGTGAATCAATGCCTAATTTATCATAACCATTACAGATAACAAATCCTAATTGCTAAATTGACCCATATATATTCAGTCAATAAAAAAAGTGCTATTTAAGATTGATTTATTGAAATCGGAAAATCAACTGGTTGTATTATATCGTGGAACACAATCTTCAAAAAGGCAGTAACCTCAGCAGTGGCACTTGTCCAAAAAGTTATACTTTTGAATCATCTGTCCATAGAACATTCTTCCATGAGTTTATGATCATCCAGGTGCTTCCAGGCAAACTTGAGTCAACTTTTTGGACGACATGGGTCCCATTTATGTCTGGCGAAAACTGAACACTGCATTCCACAGTAAGAACCTCATGCCAACGGTCAAGCATGGTGGTGGTAGTGTGATGGTTTGGGGATGCTTTGCTGCCTCAGGACCTGAATGACTTGCTTTAACCCTTTGACGCGTACCAACATCATTCTACAGTGGTCAACCTGTTCCACTACAGCCCCGTCGATGAGAATGGGGGTGTGCTCAGTCCTCTTTTTTTTCCCTGTAGTCCACAATCATCTCCTTTGTCTTGGTCACGTTGAGGGAGAGGTAGTTATCCTGGCCCCACACGGCCAGGTCTCTGACCTCCTCCCTATAGGCTGTCTCATTGTTGTCTGTGATCAGGCCTACCACTGTTGTGTCATCGGCAAACTTAATGATGGTGTTGGAGTTGTGCCTGGCCATGCAGTCATGGGTGAACAGGGAGTACAGGAGGGGACTGAGCACGCACCCCTGAGGGGCCCCCGTGTTGAGGATCAGCGTGGCAGATGTGTTGTTACCTACCCTTACCACCTGGGGCGGCCTGTCAGGAAGCCCAGGATCCAGATGCAGAGGGAGGTGTTTAGTCCCAGGATCCTTAGCTTAGTGATGAGCTTTGAGGACACTATGGTGTTAAACGCTGAGCTGTAGTCAATGAATAGCATTCTCACGTAGGTGTTCCTCTTGTCCAGGTGGGAAAGGGCAGTGTGGAGTGCAATACAGATTGCATCATCTGTGGATCTATTGGGGCGGTATGCAAATTAAGTGGGTCTAGGGTTTCTGGGATAATGGTGTTGATGTGAGCCATGACCAGCCTTTCAAAGCACTTCATGGCTACAGACGTCAGTGCTACGGGTCGGTAGTCATTTAGGCAGTTGATCTTAGTGTCCTTGGGCATGGGGACTATGGTGGTCTGCTTGAAACATGTTGGTATTACAGACTCAGTCAGGGACATGTTGAAAATGTCAGTGAAGACACTTGCCAGTTGGTCAGCACATGCTCGGAGTACACGTCCTGGTAATCCGTCTGGCCCTGCGGCCTTGTGAATGTTGACCTGCTTAAAAGTCTTACTCACATCGGCTACGGAGAGCGTGATCACGTAGTCATCCGGAACAGCTGGTGCTCTCATGCATGTTTCAGTGTGGCTTGCCTCGAAGAGAGCATAGTAGTGGTTTAGCTCGTCTGGTAGGCTTGTGTCACTGGGCAGCTCGCGGCTGTGCTTCCCTTTGTAGTCTGTAATAGTTTTCAAGCCCTGCCACATCCGACGAGCGTCAGAGCCGGAGTAGTACAATTCAATCTTAGTCCTGTATTGACTCTTTGCCTGTTTGATGGTTCGTCTGAGGGCATAGCGGGATTTCTTATAAGTGTCCGGGTTAGAGTCCCGCTCCTTGAAAGCGGCAGCTCTACCCTTTAGCTCAGTGTGGATGTTGCCTGTAATCCATGGCTTCTGGTTGGGGCAGGGACGGCTTGTTCAATAGGGCGATATGGGCGACGCACTGCCAAACGGGAAAAGGAAGGGATTTTTTTTCTAATCAATTATATCACGGCAACAGCAGTTATCAGTGTTCACGTCTGATCTGCCAGCCACTAAATGTCAAATCAGGCTAAAGTCGTGCTTCAAATGGCCCCGCCCGTTTTTGGGGCGATTTCAGTCAAGTTGAAAATCGCCCAGAAGTCTCTCATAGCCTGTCATGTAAAATCTATTTTTTTCACATTTCAAAGCTTTCAATACATTCTCTATGGGTGTCTGTGGGCTTGCACTTACGCGCTTTCGTCATACGTGACGTAACGTTGAACGTAACTAAGACAATGGCGGCTAGAAGCGTCTCTGTTGCGACCTGCAGTGCGGCGTTATTTTATGTTTTTAATTTGTAGACTTAGTTTACAAACATTCTGCCAACCATGGATTTCCAGTGGTTGGTTTTGGACTGATCTTGTTGATCGTGTACATACCCGCTACGAACGGACTAAATAATGAAAACGCTGCTGGCAGCTGAATCCCAATACAGCTGGGAGACTTGGCTGGATGAGTCCCGGACAGAGAAGTGGAGCCGGCCACCTTCACCCTGGTCAGAGCGGACCGCGATCCTGGTAAGAGAGCGACTCTGTACCCCGACATTGAACTGCTTTCTGTGTCATTGCGACCTTACTATCAATTCAATTCAATTTAAGGGCTTTATTGGCATGGGAAACGTGTGTTAACATTGCCAAAGCAAGGGAAGTAGATAGTAAACAAAAGTGAAATAAACAATAAATATTAACAGTAAACATTACACTCAGAAGTTTCAAAAGAATAAAGACATTTCAAATGTCATATTATGTATATATACAGTGTTGTTACAATGTGCAAATAGTTAAAGTACAAATGGGAAAATAAATAAACATAAATATGGGTTGTATTTACAATGGTGTTTGTTCTTCACTGGTTGCCCTTTTCTTGTGGCAACAGGTCACAAATCTTGCAGCTGTGATGGCACACTGTGGTTTTTCACCCAGTAGATAAGGGAGTTTATCAAAATTGGGTTTGTTTTCGAATTCTTTGTGGATCGCTGTAATCTGAGGGAAATATGTGTCTCTAATATGGTCATACATTTGGCAGGAGGTTAGGAAGTGCAGCTCAGTTTCCACCTCATTTTGTGGGCAGTGTGCACATAGCCTGTCTTCTCTTGAGAGCCAGGTCTGCCTACGGCGGCCTTTCTCAATAGCAAGGCTATGGTCACTGAGTCTGTACATAGTCAAAGCTTTCATTAAGTTTGGGTCAGTCACAGTGGTCAGGTATTCTGCCACTGTGTACTCTCTGTTTAGGGCCAAATAGCATTCTAGTTTGCTCTGTTTTTTTGTTTGTTCTTTCCAATGTGTCAAGTAATTCTCTTTTTGTTTTCTCATGATTTGGTTGGGTCTAATTGTGTTGTTGTTGTTGTTGTTGTTGTTGTCCTGGGGCTGTGTGGGGTCTGTTTGTGTTTGTGAACAGAGGCCCAGGACAAGCTTACTTAGGGGACTCTTCTCCAAGTTCATCTCTCTGTAGGTGATGGCTTTGTTATGGAAGGTTTGGGAATCGCTTCCTTTTAAGTGGTTACTATCTGCCCCGTGAGTTCCCCCAATTGTTTGTTACCGTTGTGTACTGTTGATAATCACAAGTTTACTGGAGAACTGAGACCAAGTAGAGACTTTGGACAGGGTGGATATGGTATAATAAAGGCAGTTTATTCAGAGGTAAAGATATCTGGAATCGCGTGCACGGACTCGTGCACGTGTGTAGGTCACCTAAATCATCAGAAAAATTGCCCCTCCTGAGAATTTTTTCAGGAGCCGCCACTGGGTTGGGGTATGTACGTACGGTCACTGTGGGGACGAAGTCATCGATGAACTTATTGATGAAACCAGTGACTGATGTGGTGTACTCCTCAATGCTATTTAGCTAACTTTCGGTTGACAGAAACCATAATATGAATTAACTAATAGAAATTACTATTTACAATTCATCACATAACGGGTGAGCTCACCATTGATCAAAATAATTGAGTAAAACACTTTATAAAAATATAAATGAATCCGACAATGGGTAGTTTGTGCACGCCGCCATGTTTTTTGTTGTTGGGGTCAACCAAAGATAAGAAGAGGAGAAAAGATGAGTTTGGTCTGTTTGCAGTATGCATGTTAAAGGGGGTGTGTTGTCTACCATCATTCACTTCCCTTCATTCACTTCCGGAAGTTTACTCAGAAGAGAAGTGAACCATCCCTCACCTCATTTGTTATAATATCTTTGGTCTGACAGATGTTTACGTGACACCCAGAATGCATTGTATAATATCAACAAACATGGTTCCACACATAGCTGGCAAATAGCTTAGCATTAGCTCATTATAATCAGTACAACCTTCAAAAAAGTATTTTACACACATCTATGCAAGAATCGGAATGCATGATTTGTCACCAGTACTTGAAAATTGAATAAAACAGTAAATACATTATGCTCCATACATATGCTAAAGTAGAAACAACAACACGATATACAGAAAATAAGGCACTTACGTGGAACACACACATGTCTAAAGTTATTATTTGTAAGGAAAACAACAATGAAGGCAATGTGAGCGCCAGCCAGAAAATGTACCAGGGGGGAAAAGTTTGTGCTAGACTGCACAAATGTATGCGTACTTGATCTGGGGAAATACTGGGGAGATGCTTCGGCTTTCATCAAAGAGAGAAGTTTGTCCGGTTCAGTAAAGCCTCAAACATACAGTGCATTCGGAAAGTATTCAGACCCCTTCCTTTTTCAACATTTTGTTACGTTACAGCCTTATTCGCAAATGGATTAAATTAGTCTTTTCCTCATCAATCTACACACAATACCCCATAATGACAAAGTGAAAATAGTTTTTTTGAAATTTTTGCTAATGTATAAAAAATTACACACAGAAATACCTTATTTACATAAGTATTCAGACCGTTTGCTATGAGACTTGAAATTGAGCTCAGCTGCATCCTGTTTCCATTGATCATCCTTGACATGTTTCAACAACTTGATTGGAGTCCACCTATGGTAAATTCAATTGATTGGACATGATTTGGAAAGGCATACACCTGTCTATATGTTGTTGTGACCCGCAAATGAACATATAAAAACGGAACACTAGAATCAAAGCAAATTAACGTTGTCTTCATTTTTTACGAATTTGATCAGGACACATTTTCAATTACCCGTTCGGGCAGCCAAAATTCCACCAAATAGTTTGACAGTATATGAAAAATATTTGATCTCTGGTTAAAGATCGAGTTTTGACGTTGAGTAATTGACTACTCATGCCCATCCCTAGACCAGACATGCCCAGACTTGTCCACTTCTCCTCTCATCAATGTTCTGTCTGTCTCTGTTTCTCTGTTTCTCTCTCTCTGTCCCTCTGTCTCTCTGCCTCTGTCTCTGTGTCTCTGTCTCCGTCTCTCTGTCTCTTCTCTCTATCCCCTCCAACAAACACACACACACACACACACACTGCAATCAGGCACCCCTGCCGGTTGGGGTCAAAGGCCAAGTGGCCTAAGCTTCAAAGTAGGTCAGTTGATCCTGCTCTGTGTACCTACCTCCAGCTGCTTTAGATTGTTTCAGCTTTCTAAGTGTTTTTAAACAACAGCCATGTGTGTGTGTGTGTGTGTGTCAATGAGGAATTAGTCTTTGCAACTGGCCGGCAAATGTTTGACATCTGTTTCAGAGTGTCTCAGTGCATGACTGAGCCATAATCATTCCTCTTAGTGCTGTTTGAACTGGAGTCTGTGGAACATCACTGGTGTCAGAACATCTACAAGTTTTAGTTTCATGAGACTGATTCAACTATGAACTAGAATGACCTGGTGTGTGTGTTTGTGTGTGTCTGTGAGTGCACTCGCGTGTGTGTGTGTTGAAAAGTAGAAAGAGTTACTGGAAAGGTTGTTCTGCATCAAGACAGTGACTAATCCTTCAACTGTCCAGTTGAGGTCATTGGGACTGTTTGTGTCTGTTTAGTTAATAAGGACATTTGTGATTCATAAAAGTAATTCTGATCCTACGCCTGTTCTCATGACCTCACTAGACTTGGACACACACCACACAACACACACTCGCTAGCAGCCCACAGATCTGGGTCATTCTGTCTCTTTTGGTGAAGAAGAGAGGAGAAAGAAACGAGGGAGGAAAGCCATGGGCTGTTGATATTTCAACAGGATAACAGAGGTCAAAATGTCAGTAATGCTGTCACTATCATCTCCCTAGCACACGCATCATTAATTAAACACACACACACTAAGCCCCCCTAGAGGGAGTGTGACCTCATAGCAGAGCAGACTAACCCTCTCCATGGGGACCGGGGGGCCGTGTGACCGGGACGACCAGGAGGTTCAGAGCGTAGGCAGCACACGCGTCACCACATGGGTTGTGGCGGTCACAACATTTAGTCAGCCGGTGATTGTCAAGCAAATAACTGTCGGTCTCACGGTAATTGACCGTAAATTAACATAAACACATTTAGCATCTCCTGGCTTCCACACATAGCCTACAAGCCACTGATGTTGACCTTTGGAACATCTACATTTTAAAAAGTCTAATAAATCCAAGTAATATAGCCTACACCTTCATAATAAATCAATTATTTATTTTAGACAGATCTAAAGAAACATGATATGAAGAAAATGTAGTCTATTTCAGAAGAACAGGGGGCTATATGTTTTGATTCTTAATACATTGTAAGGCTGCATGATGCGACGCTAATGATGATATGAAAAAAGTGGCTTGAAAGGCATGAGCTCTGCTTAGTTTTTTGCACAGGCTGTACACACTTCATCAGTCACTCATTCACAATTTGACAAGCACTTGATAATGCCTAGAATTTCACAGCGGCCTTTTGCGGCCAGTGGCCATTGTGCCCTTCTCCCTGAGGGCTCCAAAGCACCTCTCACTCACATGGCTCTCCATCACGTGATTGGGTCTTTCTCACAGGCTACAAGTGAAGACAGACACATCGGGGATGCAACTGCGCGTGTCCTTATCCAATTGCGAGGTGCATATTGACGAAATTGGAAGAACGGTCCACATGTACTTTTCGTCAGCCAACAAGATGAGAAAGCCTAACGAACAGCAAAAGCACTAGCCTATGTCAATCTACTATCCCCCACAAACCCTATTCTGGTAGTGTTTGTGGAAGAGCTGAACTAAATGACTATCGCCCCGTAGCACTCACAGACGATGCAATCGCCATCGCACTGCACACTGCCCTATCCCATCTGGACAAGAGGAATACCTACGTCAGAATGCTGTTCATTGACTATAGCTCAGCCTTCAACACCATAGTACCCTCCAAGCTCATCATTAAGCTTGAGGCCCTGGGTCTGAACCCTGCCCTGTGCAACTGGGTCCTGGACTTCCTGACGTGCCGCCCCCAGGTGGTGAAGGTAGGAAACAACACCTCCACTTCACTGATCCTCAACACAGGGGCCCCACACGAGTGCGTGCTCAGCCCCCTCCTGTACTCCCTGTTCACACATGACTGAGTAGCCAAGCACGCCTCCAACTCAATCATCAAATGTGCAGACGACACAACAGTAGTAGGCCTGATTACCAACAATGACGAGATAGCCTACAGGGAGGAGGTGAGGGCCCTGGCGGAGTGGTACCAGGAAAATAACCTCTCCCTCAACGTCAACAAAATGAAGGAGCTGATCATGGACATCAGGAAACAGCAGAGGGAGCACGCCCCTATCAACATCGATGGGACCGCAGTGGAGAAGGTGGAAAGCTTCAAGTTCCTCGGCGTACACATCACTGACAATCTGAAATGGTCCACCCACACAGACAGTGTGGTGAAGAAATTCGTCTTGGCCCCTAAGACACTCAGAAACCTTTACAGATGCACAATTGAGAGCATCCTGTCAGGCTGTATCACCGCCTGGTACGGCAACTGCACCACCCGCAAACGCAGGGCTCTCCAGAGGGTGGTGCGGTCTGCCCAACGCATCACCGGGGGCACACTGCCTACCCTCCAGGACACCTACAGCACCCGATGTCACAGGACATCATCAAGGACATCAACCACCCGAGCCACGGCCTGTTCACCCCACTATCATCCGGAAGGCGAGGTCAGTATTCGTGCGTCAAAGCTGGGACCGAGAGACTGAAAAACAGCTTCTATCTCAAGGCCATCAGACTGTTAAATAGCCGTCACTAGCCGGCTACCACCCGGCTTCTCAACCCTGCACCTTAGAGGCTGCTGCCCTATATACATAGACATGGAATCACTGGCCACTTTAATAATGGAACACTATTCACTTTAATAATGTTTACATACTGCTTTACTCATCTCATATGTTTTCTGTATTCTATTCTACTGTACTTTAGTCAATGCCAGTCTGACATTTCTTAATTATTTTACTTTAAATGTGTGTGTATTGTTGTGCATTGTTAGATACTTCTGCACTGTTGGAAATAGGAACATAAGCATTTTGCTACACCCGCAATAACATCTGCTAAATATGTGTATATGACCAATAAAATTTGATTTGATTTGATGTGATGATGACCCTGGGGTTATGTGAGTTCTGTAGTGCTGGTGTTTATAAAATGGCCGTGTCAGCAGGGTTATCTCAGGCAGGCTGATTCTAGAACAGTTACAGTGGGGAGAACAAGTATTTGATACACTGCCGATTTTGCAGGTTTTCCTACTTACAAAGCATGTAGAGGTCTGTAACTTTTTATCATAGGTAAACTTCAACTGTGAGAGACGGAATCTAAAACAAACATCCAGAAAATCACATTGTATGATTTTTAAGTAATTAATTTGCATTTTATTGAATGACATAAGTATTTGATACATCAGAAAAGCAGAACTTAATATTTGGTACAGCAACCTTTGTTTGCAATTACAGAGATCATACGTTTCCTGTAGGTCTTGACCAGGTTTGCACACACTGCAGCAGGGATTTTGGCCCACTCCTCCATACAGACCTTCTCCAGATCCTTCAGGTTTCGGGGCTGTCGCTGGGCAATACAGACTTTCAGCTCCCTCCAAAGATTTTCTATTTGGTTCAGGTCTGGAGACTGGCTAGGCCACTCCAGGACCTTGAGATGCTTCTTACGGAGCCACTCCTTAGTTGCCCTGGCTGTGTGTTTCGGGTCGTTGTCATGCTGGAAGACCCAGCCACGACCCATCTTCAATGCTCTTACTGAGGGAAGGAGGTTGTTGGCCAAGATCTTGCGATACATGGCCCCATCCATCCTCCCCTCAATACGGTGCAGTCATCCTGTCCCCTTTGCAGAAAAGCATCCCCAAATAATGATTTTTCCACCTCCATGCTTCACGGTTGGGATGGTGTTCTTGGGGTTGTACTCAGCCTTCTTCTTCCTCCAAACATGGCGAGTGGAGTTTAGACTTAAAAGCTCTATATTTGTCTCATCAGACCACATGACCTTCTCCCATTCCTCCTCTGGATCATCCAGATGGTCATTGGCAAACTTCAGACGGGCTTGGACATGTACTGGCTTGAGCAGGGGGACCTTGTTTGCGCTGCAGGATTTTAATCCATGACGGCGTAGTGTGTTACTAATGGTTTTCTTTGAGACTGTGGTCCCAGCTCTCTTCAGGTCATTGACCAGGTCCTGCTGTGTAGTTCTGGGCTGATCCCTCACCTTCCTCATGATCATTGATGCCCCACGAGGTGAGATCTTGCATGGAGCCCCAGACCGAGGGTGATTGACCGTCATCTTGAACTTCTTCCATTTTCTAATAATTGCGCCAACAGTTGTTGCCTTCTCACCAAGCTGCTTGCCTATTGTCCTGTAGCCCATCCCAGCCTTGTGTAGGTCTACAATTATATCCCTGATGTCCTTACACAGCTCTCTGGTCTTGGCCATTGTGGAGAGGTTGGAGTCTGTTTGATTGAGTGTGTGGACAGGTGTCTTTTATACAGGTAACGAGTTCAAACAGGTGCAGTTAATACAGGTAATGAGTGGAGAACAGGAGGGCTTCTTAAAGAAAAACGAACAGGTCTGTGAGAGCCGGAATTCTTACTGGTTGGTAGGTGATGAAATACTTATGTCATGCAATAAAATGCAAATTAATTACTTAAAAATCATACAATGTGATTTTCTGGATTTTTGTTTTAGATTCCGTCTCTCACAGTTGAAGTGTACCTATGATAAAAATTACAGACCTCTACATGCTTTGTAAGTAGGAAAACCTGCAAAATTGGCAGTGTATCAAATACTTGTTCTCCCCGCTGTATGTGTTCTCTCCACGGTGGTTGAACAGCCAGGCTGCTATCAGCTGGTAACTGACCGTAGGTCAGCGGCGCGGGCTGTTTCATCTGAGTCTGACGTTTGTTTTTCCCTCCGTCTGCATCCATTTGTCAAAGAATCCATCATCCCCTCTTTCCACATCTCTCCTTTCTGACCCTGTCAGTCAGGGAGCTCTGCAGGGGGAACCAAAATAGAGAGCCGAGCAGCCGGGGTTCCTCTAGGCTCTCAAACATAAACACACTCCGGGAGGAGAGGAGGCCCCACTTCAAAACCAACACTGACACACATCTGCACATCTGTCTGACCAGGCCTCCCCTCTCTCTACCTCCTCCTCTTCCTCCTCTTCCTCCTCCTCTCTTCCTCTCCAGGTCTGGCTTTGTTTAAGCATGACAGGAGGTTGTTGACTCGTTTTAAACAAGCCCTCTGTCTGTGTACAGTGACGGAAAAAAGTATTTGATCCCCTGCTGATTTTGTACGTTTGCCCATTGACAAAGACATGATCAGTCTATAATTTTATTGGTAGGTTTATTTGAACAATGAGAGACAGAATAACAACAAAAAAATCCAGAAAAACGCATGTCAAAGATATTATAAATTGATTTGCATTTTAATGAGGGAAATAAGTATTTGACCCCTCTGCAAAACATAACTTAGTACTTGGTGGCAAAACCCTTGTTGACAATCACAGAGGTCAGACGTTTCTTGTAGTTGGCCACCAGGTTTGCACACATCTCAGGAGGGATTTTGTCCCACTCCTCTATGCAGATCTTCTCCAAGTTATTAAGGTTTCGAGGCTGACGTTTGGCAACTCGAATCTTCAGCTCTCTCCACAGATTTTCTATGGGATTAAGGTCTGGAGACTGGCTAGGCCACTCCAGGACCTTAATGTGCTTCTTCTTGAGCCACTCCTTTGTTGCCTTGGCCGTGTGTTTTGGGTCATTGTCATGCTGGGATACCCATCCACTACCCATTTTCAATGCCCTGGCTGAGGGAAGGAGGTTCTCACCCAAGATTTGACGGTACATGGCCCCGTCCATCGTCCCTTTGATGAGGTGAAGTTGTCCTGTCCCCTTAGCAGAAAAACGCACCCAAAGCATAATGTTTCCACCTCCATGTTTGACGGTGGGGATGGTGTTCTTGGGGTCACAGGCAGCATTCCTCCTCCTCCAAACACGGCGAGTTGAGTTGATGCCAAAGAGCTCGATTTTGGTCTCATCTGACCACAACACTTTCACCCAGTTCTCCTCTGAATCATTCAGATGTTCATTGGCAAACTTCAGACAGCCCTGTATATGTGCTTTCTTGAGCAGGGGGACCTTGCGGGCACTGCAGGAGTTCAGTCCTTCACGGCGTAGTGTGTTACCAATTGTTTTCTTGGTGACTATGGTCCCAGCTGCCTTGAGATCATTGACAAGATCCTCCCGTGTAGTTCTGGGCTGATTCCTCACCGTTCTCATGATCATTGCAACTCCACGAGGTGAGATCTTGCATGGAGCCCCAGGCCGAGGGAGATTGACAGTTATTTTGTGTTTCTTCCATTTGCGAATAATCGCAACAACTATTGTCACCTTCTCACCAAGCTGCTTGGCAATGGTCTTGTAGCCCATTCCAGCCTTGTGTAGGTCTCCCAAGTGGCGCAGTGGTCTAAGGCACTGCATCGCAGTGCTAGCTGTGCCACTAGAGATCCTGGTTCGAATCCAGGCTCTGTCGTGACCGGGAGACCCATGGGGCGGCGACAATTGGCCCAGCGTCGTCCAGGGTAGGGGAGGGAATGGCCGGCAGGGATGTAGCTCAGTTGGTAGAGCATGGCGTTTGCAACGCCAGGGTTGTGGGTTCGATTCCCATGGGGGGCCAGTATGAAAAAAAAAATATATATATAAAAATGTATGCACTAACTGTAAGTCGCTCTGGATAAGAGCGTCTGCTAAATGACTAAAATGTAAATGTAAAAATGTCTACAATCTTGTCCCTGACATCCCTGGAGAGCTCTTTGGTCTTGGCCATGGTGGAGAGTTTGGAATCTGATTGATTGATTGCTTCTGTGGACAGGTGTCTTTTATACAGGTAACAAGCTGAGATTAGGAGCACTCCCTTTAAGAGTGTGCTCCTAATCTCAGCTCGTTACCTGTATAAAAGACACCTGGGAGCCAGAAATCTTTCTGATTGAGAGGGGGTCAAATACTTATTTCCCTCATTAAAATGCAAATCAATTTATAAAATTTTTGACATGCGTTTTTCTGGATTTTTTTGTTGTTATTCTGTCTCTCATTGTTCAAATAAACCTACCATTAAAATTATAGACTGATAATTTCTTTGTCAGTGGGCAAACGTACAAAATCAGCAGGGGATCAAATACTTTTTTCCCTCACTGTATGTTTTATTCACCATTATTCCTATTCACCATGGCTGTGCTATGCCACTTACTCTTAGAGCAGGGGTGTCAAACTCAATCAGTGCAAGGGCCATATTGAAAAAACACAACGAATTTGTGGGCCAGACATCGCCTTAAAAAAAACGTGTATACAACTGCGACCCAAACTGTCCGTTGTTCCGATGTCCCTTTACAGTAGTATGCTGTATGTAGCATTTTTTTACATATTAAAACAAAATAAGAGATAAATAATATTTGTCCAGCCTTTGCTGCTATGCTTGCAGATGTGCATAATACGCTGCGACCATAATCAAAAAGTATTTAACTCCAAATGACAAAAACGAGGTTGTTGTAACATTTAAACTTGAAACATGTTTGTCATTTTTTTTGCACTGCATTCTTTACTAGTACGGTTGAATGCAGCATTGCTGTATGGTGCACTCAAAATGTATTGCTGTTGAGTAGCCAGCATAGGCTACTGCTCAAACGTTGCTGTAATAGGCCTACATGTTTCTCCTTTGCATGGTGTTTTGTTGCAACACTTTAGTAGCTTAGCTAGGACAGTGGCATGTGTCTGTGTACACGGTCCCTCCGCTGCGCACGGTAAACGGGACTCACGAAAGCAGCTTGATAGACATTGAATTCACCCATGCGAGCACATCAGGCTGTTGACTCATTTATACTTGCTTGTGTGTCCTATTGTCCTTTAGTAGTAATTTATACCCGTGTGTGAATTGTAGGATACAGCAATGACCTGTTGGAACTGAAACTTGGCACGGACATTTAGCCTACAACATATTTAAACTTTCGGTCTGGTAGAAGATTCGGTCAGTGCCATTAGTGATATGATACAGGGCACTGGCTGGGTTGGTTGTGTGTGTGTGTGTGTGGGTCTGGGAGGAGGGGTGGGTGTGTGGCAATGCACTGCCGTTTGGTGTGCAGCACGGTGGGAGCGCTTGCTGTGACTTGTAGTGCAGCGCTTCGCGGGCTGTATGGAAGCGGGCCAAAATGAATTGACAACCCAAATCATTGCGTGTGCTGGATAGAAATGTGTCACAGACCGGTTTCGGGCCACGGGCCTTGTGTTTGACACAACATGTCTTAGAGTATGGTTGGTTGTTTAAAACTGCTGTGTTGGTCAATGACCCCGTTTTTGTTTGCTGATTAAAGTGACATTTTATGCGAGTTGGGAGGGGGTAAACACTGCTTCTGAAACATTTGATACCAACACTGTTAATACGCTTGTCACAGCTCTAAGTGTTACCATATCTCCCTGTCCTCCTCTCTCTCTCGCTCTCTCGCTTCTCTCCTCTCTCTTCGCTCTCTCTCTCTCCGTCTCTCTCTCGAGGACTCGAGCTCTCCTCTCTTCCTCTTTCTTTCTTCGAGGCCTCTCTCTCTCTGAGTCTCGGAGAGAATCTCTAGATTCTCTCTCTCTCCTCTCTAGCTTCTATCTCTCTATCTCCTCTCTCTCTCCTCTCGCTCTCTCTCTCTCTCTCCTCTCTCCTCTATCTCTCTCTATCTCTTCTCTCTCTCGCTCTCTCCTCTAGGTGTTTAGTTGTGAAGCCAGCTGGCTGGCCCTGGAGACACTCCTTCACTACGATGTAGAGTCCAGAAGAGAGGCAACGAGAGAGAAAGACGAAAGCGAGTGTGTATGAAAAACAGACACTCCAGCTGCAATACTCTAGCACACTACGCACAAGACGGGATATAGAGAGAGAGTAACTGAAAGCGGGTGAGTAAGACAGTGGCAAGGACGGAAAGTAATATCGGATGACAGAGCAGAAAGAAGGAACAGGAACAACAGCAGTGCCAGAACGACACCAGGAGGAGATAAGAACAGAGAAAGAGAGGGATACTGTGAATCATTGACCTCAGGCCCTGCCTCCAAACCAGCCTCTCCCGCCCTCCTCCCTCCTCCTTCCTCCTTTCCCTGCGCTGGAACTGTTCACTCTTTCCCACACCTTTGTCACAACAGGACCACATCCTTTGCTCTCTCCCTCTATCCTTTTCCCTCTTCCTGAAGACCCTGAGGACCTGAACCTTCACCTTTGACCCCACCTGTGTGACCCCTGGATGACATTCCACCGCTCCTGGTATCAACCCCATCGAACTCAACTGAACATAATTGTTCCTTCAGAGAGGAACAGACAACACCAGGAACACTTCAGAACCACTGCAAACGTCATCATCACCATGTGTCACGTGATCGTAACCTGTCGCTCCATGCTGTGGACTCTACTCAGCATCGTGGCCGCCTTCGGCGAGCTCATCGCCTTTATGAGCACCGATTGGCTGGTGGGCTTCCCCCGGACACCGGACGCCGTCTTTGGCCCTCACGGTGCCACTGCAGCCGGCGAGGCCTACCGGCCCACCCTGGGCATCTACGGCCGCTGCATCAAGCTGCCCCACCTGCAGCGCGGCGTGCTGTGCGGGCCGTACGCCGTGCACTTTGGGGAGATTGCCAGCGGGTTCTGGCAGGCGGCGTCCATCTTTCTGGCTGCGGGGATCCTGCTGCTGTGTGCCGTGGCCTTCATCTCCGTCTTCACCATGTGCTTCCAGAGCATCATGAAGAAGAGCATCTTCAACGTGTGTGGACTGCTGCAGGCCATCGCAGGTGAGACTGAGGGAGACACGTTAGCCCACAGAACAATATTGCAGTGTTACCCAGTTTACTTTCACATTCACTTATTGACATGCACATACAGTACCTCACACAGCAAATACACAGACACTGCTGTTCCAGTGTTCCTGTGTGCAGTGTTACACTGCCTGTTGGTTGGTTGTAGTTTTCTCTAGGCAGTGCAGTAGTTAGACACAGCTGACTGACTGTTGAACCCCTGGAATGTAGGGTGAGAGGGACTTGTGAAGGGGTGGGTGCCGTTTGAACAGCCAACATTCAACCCCATCTATCTAACCTTTTAGTGCTGCTGTTCATCTCTCTAACCTTCATAGTTTAAACATTTACTAGAGCAATCAGACCCCACTGACCACACACAAACACACACGCGTACACACACACACACACACACACAGGCCCCCAAGAGTGCATTAACTCTTACTACCAGCGTGCTCTCTGTGTGTTCGAGGTGACAATTAACCCTATAGGTCAAGGATCCGGGAACCACAGCAACCTTGCACCTTCCTCTGAGGTCGTTGCCATGAGCAACAAGGTACCAAATATTTGTCATTTTGAGTCAGCTGGGGATGACGTCATGTGACCTGTGTGGTGTTTGTGTATGTGTATCTGTATGAATCTCGAGTCGCTGTGACCTGCTGTGGTGAATTGTGGGAGGGAAGAGGCAGTCATAGGAGAGAGGGAGGTCATTCCGACTGAATCTCTCTGAGCTTTCATCCCTCTCGCCTATCCTCCCCTGTACTTGTTCCTTAGACTGTCAGGGATGGTGTAATGACTGGTGAGGGAGTAGGTCAGGGTGAAGTTGCCCTACAGACACTTATCTACTGTAAGATCAATTTGATGCCTTTTCCCCACTATTTTTTGTTAAGGTTAGAATTTGGGTATGATAACAACTTTCTGGCACTAAATGAATCCGGTGATTGCTACACCGGTGGACAGTTACCACCTAACAATGTAACGCACATTCAGACCTAGTGAAAGTGCCAAATACAGTCCAGTGTTATTGTAGTTGTTATTTAGTGTAGTCAGAGGACTTCCACAACTGGACTGATTAGAAGAGCAGAGCTGCTCGTTATGGGTCTGTGGGTCGCTGGGAGGAAGAGGATGAGGAAAAGGAAAGGGGGCGAGGGGAAACCAGAAATAGAAGGGAGACGTTTCCTTCATGCCCCCAGCCCTTAGCCCCCTGTCTGAATTGACTATAGGTCATTAACCCAAAGGAAAGATTCATCCATTTTGAATGTTATATTGTTTTTGTGCATCACTGTGCAATGTTCTATCGATTCCCGGGGTCATTTCATGTGTGTCTGTGCTATTACCGTTCAAGCAGGCAGAAATTTGGCCGCTATGAGCTAGCATTGCTCACTACACTGGAAGTTAATAGGACTACAACTTTCAGATTACGAAAACGTCTACCATACGTCAGATTTCAATACTGGCCGATGTCATAACGCTGGAGGTTGTCTTCTCTCGAATGAGCCATTGATTATATTTTTGCGATATTCCTACCTTGAGAAATTTGTAATTTAACAGTGGGTCCACTACATTTCTCCTATTTGTCTGCCTCTTCAGTCCAGAGTGCATTACATGGTGCCATTGCATGGCCGTTGTGAATGTCACACTCCACTCTGCGAGGGAAATCGATCTGCAGGTTGAACATGGTGAGAATGTAGACTCCTAAATTGATAGTACAATTCGTTTAGGCAATTTTAGAGCTAACTAACTACTTCACATGCTGATATTAACTTTGGTATTATTGTGTGTAGCTACATTTGCTAGCTAGCTAGATAGATAGATAGATAGCCAGCCAGCCCATAGAGAGAGCATTGTATTATGGGTTTTGTAGACGACTTGAGCTGCAACAGAATTTCACAACGATTTTCACATGTTGCTACCAACCTTATTATAAGGACAAAATGAAACATATATTCACCAAAAATAATAAGTGGTTTTGGGTGGATTTTTAATGCCCTGGCTACAGGAAGAGATAAGGACCAAAACACACAGCGACACCATATCAAGCAGTATGTATGCACTCACTAATTGTAAGTCGCTCTTCTGCTAAATGACTAAAATGTCAATTGGATCACTAAATATCGCTCTATCACTTTATTGTCTCTCTCTCTCTGTATCTCTCTGTTTCTCGCTCTCGCTCTCGCATCTCTCTCTCTGTATCTCTCTCTTTCTCTCTCTCTGTATCTCTCTCTCTCTGTATTTCTCTCTCTCTCTCTCTCTCTCTCTCTCTCTCTGTATCTCTCTCTCTGTATCTCTCTCTCTCTGTATCTCTTTCTCTCTCTGTATCTCTGTCTATCTCTCTCTCTCTCTCTATCGCTCCTTTCCACCAGTTTGACTTTCCTCCAATCATTATTTCCACTAAGTGTTCCACCGACCGTACCATAATGTGACCGTAACTGGGATCAGGTGGCAGATGTTTCGGGAAAGGCTTGACCTCAGAAGGAGAGATTGTAGTTGGGTAGCCAGCGGTGGTCACGTCATCCCACTGGAGTCATTAGACTGGCCCTAACTCTATTAACCTAATTTAAACACACTGATGTCATATTGCGAAGGTTATAACGACAAAATGAAACATATATTCACCAGAAATTATAGGTGGTTTTGGGTGGATTTTTAATGCCCTGGCTACAGGAAGAGATAAGGACCAAAACACACAGCGACACCATATCAAGCAGTCGGTCTGTGTTGACGTGGCTGTGGAAGTTGGTGTTTTTCTGTTGGTGTTTTTCCTTCAGATTTCTTTCCTATTGACAGTGATACCTCCACATGGGATGGAAAAATCTGTAATTTCTCCCCAGCCAGCATTCTGTGATATCGCTCTATCACTTTATTGTCTCTCTCTCTCTGTATCTCTCTGTATCTCTCTGTATCTCTCTGTTTCTCTCTCTCTCTCTCTCTCTCTCTCTCTCTCTCTCTGTATCTCTCTCTCTGTATCTCTCTCTCTCTCTGTATCTCTCTCTCTCTCTCTGTATCTCTCTCTCTGTCTCTCTCTCTGTATCTCTCGCTCTCTCTGGATCTCTCTCTCTGTGTATCTCTCTCTCTCTCTGTATCTCTCTCTCTCTGTCTATCTCTCTCTCTATCTCTTCTTTCCACCAGTTTGACTTTCCTCCAATCATTATTTCCACTAAGTGTGTAGACCGACCGTACCATAATGTGACCGTAACTGGGATCAGGTGGCAGATGTTTTGGGAAAGGCTTGACCTCAGAAGGAGAGATTGTGGTTGTGTAGCCAGCGGTGGTCACGTCATCCCACTGGAGTCATTAGACTGGCCCTAACTCTATTAACCTAATTTAAACACACACTGATGTCATATTGCGAAGGTTTTGTCTCTGATCTAAATCTATTGGAGATGTAATCTAACTAGTAGGCTTGGGCGATATCCAGATAGTCAGACCTTCATACCGACCTTGTGCCTTAACGGGATATTCAGTAATACTGGCACTGAACACAAGGGGCACTATTTTCAAACCCCACTGATCCCCTGTATTCCGAAGGTTAGCAATGCTAACAAAAAGTAAAGCTCGAAGTTATACAAGTAACAAAAGAATGCTACTCACAGTTTGCTGCACGCACAAAACAAATATTAGACAGCAATGCTCTTGATCCAGGAGGGGATTATCAGCTGTTACCAAGCAAAGCTTGATTTTGGAAGAAGCTAAACATTTAGCTAGATATCTAACTAGCTACTAAATTAGCAAACCAAATGCACAACTGCAGAGAATTTAGCACATTTTAGACAGTTAACTTAATAGGTATAAGATATTTAGCTGGTAAACATTTAGTTGTGAATTCCATACAGTAACTAAATCACCTGGTGCATGCTGCACAACAGTGAGTGACTCACAATGCTCCGGTCTCTCGTTGTTGTGTGCTTGTAAACAAACACCATGTGACTGGGGACTACCGGTAAACTTCATAATAAAACATTACGCAACAGGTGAAATGAAGAACGCAGTCTTCTTTATCGCCTAACGTATTGCACAAGTTGACTGTAGTTATTTACTTAAAAAGTAGCTACAAATATTACAATTTTTTTTTTTTTTTACTTCAAAGAAATAGTTTCAACTGTATTGAAAAACCATCCCGTGGCCAGTTCCAAATACCCCGGTATACCATATACGGAGAAGACAAACAAACAGCAGGTAGTTAAACAGGTGTACAGCTGGGAGTGTCATAATAACCTTTTACTACCTGCCATAAACACTCCCTTCAGCCCCAACCAACCAGCCAGCAGATCAGCCAGCCAGACGACACTACGAGCCAGGGTCAGCCATGATGAGCATAGTACTATCACACAGATGACCTTTGACCTGGGTGCTAGCTGTGAGCTGAGTGATGGCTGATGGGAATTGTGACAGTGATTCCAGTAAACGGACAAGGAAATACAATATAATACAGCGTGACTATGACTTTTACAGGTCAGATGATAAGGAGTGTATTGGAACAGGCTGATCATGACGACTAATCTAGCTCTGGATGTTTTTAGTGTTGAGCAAACAGAGAAAGCAAACGTATAATACTGGTCTGGGTGGGACTACTGACTGGAAATGAATCTCATTACCGAATCAAAGGTCTGAGATGTTGATCAATCACAAGCAGTGTTTACAAAAGAGCTGTGTGGGTGAGAGAAAGAGAGAGGGGAGGGGGAAAGAGATAGAGAGCGAGTTTACAACAGAGGTGTGGGTTAAAGAGATAAAGGCAGAGAGAGAGAAAACGAGAGGGAGAGTGAGTGAGGAAGAGAGTGAGCGAGAGAGAGTGAGAGTCAGGTGAAAGGAAGTGTATTGTAGATAAGGCTGATAGACATGAATGGAAGGTCCGGTCTATGGTCACGGTGCATATTACTGTAATCCTGAATCAGGCCTGTAGGACTTCCTACCAACGGAACACTAACAGCTCCAGTATGATTGGGTGGAAAGAATCAGGATATCATGTCTGTCCCCATTCTCCTATTACACTGCAGTCCTCAGTGGAGCCAAACATAGAGAAACACAAAACTCCCCCAGGTTTCCCACAGAAGAAACATGTCTAAAGGACCTAGAAATACCTCGCAATCAAATGCCGACTGTATTATCTCCCAAGATAATTTTATTCGGTTATAGTCACGGCCGTGTATATCCCCCCTCAAGCCGATACCACGACGGCCCTCAAAGAACTTCACTGGACTTTATGCAAACTGGAAACCACATATCCTGAGGCTGCATTTATTGTAGCCTGGGATTTTAACAAAGCAAATTTGAGGACTAGGCTGCCGAAGTTCTATCAACGTATCGACTGTTGTACTCGGGCTGCTAAAATCCTCGACCATTGCTATTCGACCTTCCGGGATTGTGATAAGGCCCTCCCCCGCCCTCCTTTCGGCAAATCTGACCACGACTCCATTTTGCTCCTCCCTTCCTATAGGCAGAAACGCAAACAGGAAGTACCTGTGCTAAGGACTATTCAACGCTGGTCTGACCAATCGGAATCCACGCTTCAAGATTGTTTCGATCACGCGGACTGGGATATGTTCCGGGTAGCTTGCAAAACTAATTTAGACGAATACACTGAAACGGTGACTGAGTTTATCAGGAAGTGTATAGGTGATGTTGTGCCCACTGTGACTATGTGACTATTAAAACCTACCGTAACCAGAAACCGTGGATAGATGGCAGCATTCACGCAAAACTGAAAGCGCGAACCACTGTATCTAACCATGGCAAGGTGACTGGGAATATGGCAGAATACAAACAGTGTAGCTACTCACTCCGCAAGGCAATTAAACTGGCAAAACATCAGTATAGAGACAAAGTGGTCGCAATTCAATGGCTCAGACACGAGACGTATGTGGCAGGGTCTACAGACAATCACGGACTACAAAAGGAAAACCAGCCATGTTGCCGACAACGACATCTCGCTTCCAGACAAGCTAAACACCTTTTTCGCCCGCTTTGAGGATAACACAGTGCCACCGACAAGGCCCACTACCAAGGACTGTGGCCTCTCCTTCTCCGTGGTGGAAGTGAGTAAGACATTTAAGCATGTTAACCCCCGCAGGGCTGCCGGCCCAGACGGCATCCCTAGCCGCGTCCTCAGAGCATGCACAGACCAGCTAGCTGGTGTGTTTACGGACATATTCAATCTCTCCCTTTCCCAGTCTGCTGTCCCCACATGCTTCAAGATGGCCACCATTGTTCCTGTACCCAAGAAAGCAAAGGTAACTGAACTAAATGACTATCGCCCCGTAGCACTCACCTCTGTCATCATGAAGTGCTTTGAGAGACTAGTCAAGGATCATATCACCTCTACCTTACCTGTCACCCTAGACCCACTTCAATTTGCTTACCGCCTCAATAGATCCACAGACGATGCAATCGCCATCACACTGCACACTGCCCTATCCCATCCGGACAAGAGGAATACCTATGTAAGAATGCTGTTCATTGACTATAGCTCAGCATTCAACGCCACAGTACCCTCCAAGCTCATCATTAAGCTTGAGGCCCTGGGTCTGAACCCCGCCCTGTGCAAATGGGTCCTGGACTTCCTGACGTGCCGCCCCCAGGTGGTGAAGGTAGGAAACAACATCTGCACTTCACTGATCCTCATCACTGGGACCCCACAATGGTGCGTGCTCAGCCCCCTCCTGTACTCCCTGTTCACCCATGACTGCGTGGACAAGCACGCCTCCAACTCAATCATCAAGTTTGCAGATGACACAACAGTAGTAGGCTTGATTACCAACAATGACGAGACAGCCTACAGGGAGGAGGTGAGGGCTCTGGGAGTGTGGTGCCAGGAAAATAACCTCTCACTCAACGTCAACAAAACAAAGGAGATGATCATGGACTTCAGGAAACAGCAGAGGGTGAACCCCCCTATCCACATCGACGGGACTGCAGTGGAGAAGGTGGAAAGCTTCAAGTTCCTTGGCGTACACATCAATGACAAACTGAAATGGTCCACCCATGCAGACAGTGTGGTGAAGAAGGCACAACAGAGCCTCTTCAACCTCAGGAGGCTGAAGAAATTTGACTTGGCACCTAAATCCCTCACAAACTTTTACAGATGCACAATTGAGAGCATCCTGTCGGGCTGTATCACCGCCTGGTACGGCAACTGCACCGCCCGCAACCGCAGGGCTCTCCAGAAGGTGGTGCGGTCTGCCCAACGCATTACCGGGGGCAAACTACCCGCCCTCCAGGACACCTACAGCACCCGATGTCACAGGAAGGCCAAAAAGATCATCAAGGACATCAACCACCCGAGCCACTGCCTGTTCACCCCGCTATCATCCAGATGGCGAGGTCAGTACAGGTGCATGAAAGCTGGGACCGAGAGAATGAAAACAGCTTCTATCTCAAGGCCATCAGACTGTTAAATAGCCATCACTAGCACGTTAGAGGCTGCTGCTGCCTGTTGAAATCACTGGCCACTTTAAGAAATGGAACACTAGTCACTTTAATAATGTTTACGTATCTTGCACTACTCATCTCATACGTATATACTCTATTCTATAATATTCTATTGTATCTTAGTCCATGCCGCTCTGTCATTGCTTGTCCATATATGTATATATTCTTAAATTCTATTCATTACTTAGATTTGTGTGTATTGGGTATATGTTGTGAAATTGTTAGATATTACTTGTTAGATATTACTGCACTGTCGGAGATAGTAGCATAAGCATTTCGCTAAACCCGCAATAACATCTGCTAAACACGTTTATGTGACAAATACAATTTGATTTGATTTGATTTAACTGCTGAAACCATTTTCTTAACTCTAGCAGGCAGCGGTGGCCAACCCTCCTCCTGCAGAGATACTAGGTATGCAGGCTTTTGATCCAGCCCTGCTCTAACGCACCTGATTCAGCTGATGAAGGTTCCGAGGAGCAGTGGATGCGAAGAATCAGTGTAGTTATTGAAGAGAGTGTCTTTAGAAGAGTGAGGTGACCCAGTTCTAGACACTCTTGGCTCACAGTCCTACCTGGCAATCACAGCAGCCTGGAAGTTTCCAGTAAGAGTCCCAACCTCCTCCTTCCCTCTCTCTCTCTTCTTCCATTTTTCCTGAAAAGCTACACTCTAATATTTGTGGAGAGGAAAGAAAGACAACACAAACTCAAACTCTTGCATCTCTCTCTCCCACCCTCTGCCTCACTCTCACTCCCTCTCTACCTCTGGCTCTGTCGTTTAAACCATTTCCTGGAGCTGAGAGGAGGTGAATGCCCCGATTTTCTGGGAAGAAGGAGTAGACCGGCAGGGTCGAAGAGAGGAGGGGTGGAGGAGTGTAGAGAAGGGGGTTGATGAGTGTAGGTCAATGTTTCCCAACTCCAGTCCTCGAGTACCCCCAACAGTACACATTTTTGTTGTAGCCCCAGACAAACTCACCTGATTCAATTAATTGAGGGCTTGTTGATTAGTTGACAAGTTGACTCAGGTGTGCTTGCCCAGGGCTACAACAAAAAATGTTTGCTGTTGGGGGTACTCAAGGACTGGAGTTGGGAAACACTGGTTTAGAGATAGGGGTAAGGGGGGAGGGGTTTCGACACAGAGAGCGGTGAAAGAGGATTCAGGGGTACCCCACCTAGAGATGTAGAGGAAGAGAGTACAGAGAGAGAGGAGGCTACAGAGACAGTTGGAGGCAAATTGTTAATATACAGGCCAGGTTGCAGAAGGAGACAAGCAGTTAATATTCTTAGGGGATGGAGGATATTCAGTTGGAGTGCACTGGGATATTAGGTTAGGGGTCCAGTGGGTAGGGGTGATTTCTGTCAAGGGGGTAGTGTTGGGGTAGGGGGGGTAGTAGAATTGAAACCATACCTCTAGTCCGTCATCAGAGCTGCTCTGGCTGTCAAGGCAACGCAGCAACATGTGGAAGCAATTTATGACCTACTTTTCATTTCCGCATTTAATACGATTTTGGTCTGCTCTGAGGGAGATGGAGAAAGAGAGAGAGAGGAAAGCTGGTGTCGGCACTGCACTTTTGTTTTTCATCTCCTGACGAAGCGAGTGAGCGGAGCAGACGGAGGGAAGGAAGGAGGGAGGGAGGGAGTGAGGCAGGGAAGGAGGCTTAGAGTGCTGGTCTGGTATAGAGGTGCAGGAGACCAAAGAGGCCATTTATGGCCCCTCTCTCCAAACCCCCTCCCTCCATCTCTCGCTCTCTCTTGCTCTCTCCCTCCCTACCCTCTCTCTCCATCGCTCTCTCTGGCCTTTAATTTTAATTATTCGAACTGTTTCCTACTGAGATGCAGAGGGCTGCAGACCCTCAGGCTGCCTGAGTGATCCGCTCCCACGGTAGAGAGGGAGTGAGCAGGGGAGAGGAGCAGGAGAGGCATGCAGGACAAGTCTTGAAATCTCTGGACTAGTGGCCTTACCGTAGTAATATGTGCCTGTAGACATATTGTAGTTACATAGCTCCCAATCTAGACTCTAGTGGACATCCAGTATTACTATTGTAGTTCCATTAACAGAGCTCTCAGTAGTAGACTTCTAGTAGTAGACTTTTAATATTGTAGTTCCAGTCCCAGCTGCCAACAGCGTGACGGAGCATCTCCTGATGTGTGTCAATCACTGCCTTTTCCTACAACGTCATTCTAGAGTATGGTGATGGTGATAGAAGTACCCTCGGCCTGTACAAGGATACAGAGATATTGAACATAGACACTACAGGGACCTGTACTGTCTCAACTTCACTGGGTCAAATGTGGGATTGGGCAAAGGTTTCACTTGCTACATCGGACCAGGCCTCTATTAGGCTCTCCTCTAGGTTCTGGTGTTGTAACAAAATCCATGTTCTGTTAAAAGTGGAATATTGTACAGTGCAGGGGGGTGGTGTTAGAAGTGGGTCCCAGTCCCACAGGAAGTGGCCCCATCCTTCAGCAGAGAGAGACACAGGAATCTGAGACAGGGTTAGTTGGTCGGTCAGTTCAGTGATTTGGAGGCAATCCCCTCTGGCTACCTTTTCCTGTTGTTGAGTTGCTGAAACCCCAGGTCACACATTCTGCCATACCCCCGTGGATCCAGAGCTGACAGACATATTGTACCATAACCTCAGAGTTGCGATGCGGGGGGCATGTTTGGGGAAAGATGAGTATCAGGCCATTTTGTTACAATGAGAGTTGACACTGGCCAGGTGTACTGTTAGAATGGACTGGAGTAGGAGTCCCATCTGAAAGGGATGGCGAAGGAAATCATTTTAGCCCAGAATAATATTTTTGGCCAACGGGAAATCAGAATGCTAACGTGTTATTGAAACAGGAAATGTTTTGATAGCAGAGAATGTAGCTGTTAACTGTTCTGTGATTGGACTTTAGAGAATGTAGCTGTTCTGTGATTGGACTTTAGAGAATGTAGCTGTTAGCTGTTCTGTGATTGGACTTTAGAGAATGTAGCTGTTAGCTGTTCTGTGAATGGACTTTAGAGAATGTAGCTGTTAGCTGTTCTGTGAATGGACTTTAGAGAATGTAGCTATTAGCTGTTCTTTGATTGGACTTTAGAGAATGTAGCTGTTCTGTGAATGGACTTTAGAGAATGTAGCTGTTAGCTGTTCTGTGATTGGACTTTAGAGAATGTAGCTGTTAGCTGTTCTGTGATTGGACTTTAGAGAATGTAGCTGTTAGCTGTTCTGTGATTGGACTTTAGAGAATGTGCTGTTGTCATTATTCTACGCTTCTCTGCAGCTACATTTCAAACACACATTCAATCAGTCACACATTATAGCGGTTGATATGTTTGCTGCTTCTAGGTCTATTTAATGCTGTATATTGTTACTGATGAACCTCTCTCTTCCCCCCTCTCTGGTCTAGGTCTGTTTCTGATCCTGGGTCTGATGCTATACCCTGCAGGCTGGGGTTCAGACAAGGTGCAGCTGTACTGTGGTCAGGACGCGGCTCCCTACCGGTCGGGGCTGTGCACCATGGGCTGGGCCTTCTACACAGCCATGGGGGGCACCGTGCTCACCTTCGTCTGCGCTGTGTTCTCCGCCCAGGCCGAGATCGCCACGTCCTCAGACAAGGTGCAGGAGGAGATCGAGGAGGGCAAGAGCCTTATCTGCCTGCTCTGAGACTGACCAGGAGGAGAGGGGGAGGAGAAGAAGAAGAGGAATGTCAAGTCCGACCCCCCTCTTCTCCCCTCTGTCAATCTAACGGAGCCCCCCCCCCATATTGTTTACCACTAAGACTGACTCTCTGACCTTTGACCCTGTATTGTTGTTAATTTGGGAGAAATCTACAGTGCCAAGCTTTTCACAAATGTGTTTCAGTGTATTTCCTCTCTCCGCCACCAGAGGTGCTGTCTGTCTGTGTTCTGTGTGTTATTATTTTTAATGTGTGCCAGTACCAGCTACCCTGACACCAGTATGTTTGTATTGTAAATAAACTGTACATAGTGATGATGATGATGATGATGATGATGATGATGATGATGATGATGATCTGAGAATGGTGGTCCTCTCAGCTCTGTCCAGGCTGTGTTTTAAATGATGTCACTCTTGCCTTGAATCCTGGTGTGATGATGTCACCACCTAAAGACCAGCCTACCTGGTGCTAGTCTTCTGTTATAACTTAAAACGCCAGGTAGAAGTTGCCCCTGACCACAGATCTAGGATAAGATTTCCCAACCCCAAATCATAACCTGAACCTAATGGGGAGGATCAAATAATATCTGACCCTGGACCAGCGGTTAGAGGTAACTTCTACCAGCGCCAACTTAAGCCAGGTGTGAGTAACTTTACAAGGGAACCACTACTCGGTCAAGTAAACTACTCGCAGACATGGCCTTAGTTTAGCATGGAATCAGGATGTCCTTAAAGCTTTCAGAATGTACTGTCAATTGAAATGACCAATGTATGTCTTCTTGGACCCATGAAATGTATTGATGTGACACCTACACCAGCCATGGTTCACACGGACTGCATGAGCTTGCTAAGAGAGAGCTGTGGTGTGTGTGTTTGTTATTGTGTGTGAGAGACTGTGCTTGGTTTGTTTTTCAAATATTGAGGTGATTTTGCCTGGACCCCCACCTCTGATGACCGTAGCCTGGTCTCGTTGAGGTCCTCCTCAGCCGACTCCCTATAATCTATGGACAAAGACTTGGATAACAACACACACAAGTATTCATATGAGTGTCTTGTTTCAGGGAAAACTCTTATTCCTGCGACACCAAGGGAGGACTGTTATTCCTGCAACGAGAAACTGTTGAAACGTGCTGTTGCATCGTCGTCCCACTTTCCCAGCTCCTCAGTCTGTCTCTCTGCCAAACCAATAAAAACAGAAAGAAAAAGACAAGATGGTCTGGTCTGAGTTTTTCTCCATCAAAGTTAATCTCTGTGGGGCTCTACAGTCGTGGTCAAAAGTTTTGAGAATGACACAAATATTAATTTTCACAAAGTCTGCTGCCTCAGTTTTTATGATGGCAATTTGCATATACTCCAGAATGTTATGAAGAGTGATCAGATGAATTGCAATTCATTGCAAAGTCTCTCTTTGCCATGAAAATGAACTTAATCCCAAAAAAACATTTCCACTGCATTTCAGCCCTGCCACAAAAGGACCAGCTGACATCATGTCAGGGATTCTCTCGTTAACACAGGTGAGAGTGTTGACGAGGACAAGGCTGGAGATCACTCTGTCATGCTGATTGAGTTAGAATAACAGACTGGAAGCTTTAAAAGGAGGGTGGTGCCTGAAATCATTGTTCTTCCTCTGTTAACCATGGTTACCTGCAAGGAAACACGTGCCGTCATCATTGCTTTGCACAAAAAGGGCTTCACAGGCAAGGATATTGCTGCTAGTAAGATTGCACCTAAATCAACCATTTATCGGATCATCAAGAACTTCAAGGAGAGAGGTTCAATTGTTGTGAAGAAGGCTTCAGGGCGCCCAAGAAAGTCCAGCAAGCGCCAGGACCGTCTCCTAAAGTTGATTCAGCTGCGGGATCGGGGCACCACCAGTGCAGAGCTTGCTCAGGAATGGCAGCAGGCAGGTGTGAGTGCATCTGCAAGCACAGTGAGGAGAAGACCTTTGGAGGATGGGACAGACTGATATTCTGCAAAAGGTACAGGGATTGGACTGCTGAGGACTGAGGTAAAGTCATTTTCTCTGATGAATCCCCTTTCCGATTGTTTGGGGCATCCTGAAAAAAGCTTGTCCGGAGAAGACACTTAACCCTAATTGCTCCTGTAAGTCGCTCTGGATAAGAGCGTCTGCTAAAATGACTAAAATGTAAATGTAAAGACAAGGTGAGCGCTACCATCAGTCCTGTGTCATGCCAACAGTAAAGCATTTTTGAGACCATTCATGTGTGGGGTTGCTTCTCAGCCAAGGGAGTGGGCTCACTCACAATTTTGCCTAAGAACACAGCCATGAATAAAGAATGGTACCAACACATCCTCCGAGAGCAACTTCTCCCAACCATCCAAGAACAGTTTGGTGACGAACAATGCCTTTTCCAGCATGATGGAGCACCTTGCCATAAGGCAAAAGTGTTAACTAAGTGGCTCGGGGAACAAAACATCAACATTTTGGGTCAATGTCCCCTGTAGCTCAGTTGGTAGAGCATGGCCAGGGTTGTGGGTTCGTTTCCCACGGGTGGCCAGTATGAAAATGTATGCACTCACTAACTGTAAGTCACTCTGGATAAGAGCGTCTGTTAAATGACTAAAATGTAAAATGAAACTCCCATTGAGAACTTGTGGTCGATCCTCAAGAGGCGGGTGGACAAACAAAAACCCACAAAGTCTGACAAACTCCAAGCATTGATAATGCAAGAATGGGCTGCCATCAGTCAGGATGTGGCCCAGAAGTTAATTGACAGCATGCCAGGGCGGATTGCAGAGGTCTTGAAAAAGAAGGGTCAACACTGCAAATATTGACTCTTTGCATAAACTTAATGTAATTGTCAATAAAAGCCTTTGACACTTATGGAATGCAGTTAATTATACTTCAGTATACCATCTGACAAAAATATCTAAAAACACTGAAGCAGCAAACTTTGTGAAGACAAATACTTGAGTCATTCTCAAAACTTTTGACCACAACTGTATGTAATGTAATGTGTGGAAGGATGGGTGAGGGAGGGGGATAGGGGGGAGGGAGAGTGGAGTAGGGAGGGAAATAAGTGGTGAGTCTTCACTCACTATCACCAGCTCTAACCTACCCCTCACCACACTCCAGACCACCACACACACACACACACACACACACACACACACACACACACACACACACACACACACACACACACACACACACACACACACACACACACACACACACACACACACACACACACACACACACACACACACACACACACACACACACACACACACACACACACACACACACACACACACACACACACACACACACACACACACACACACACACACACACACACACACACACACACACACACACACACAGCTCAAACTCAACACAGCAGTTGATGACTTCCAGATTGGACAGCGTTTCCATGTCACTTGACAAATCTCCCTGTTCCTCCAGAGGGCTGCAGTATGAGACTCAAAGCCCCTCGTCTACTGTCAGCAAGTCAGCTTAGCCTAGTTTTACCCCTCTATTGACTGGGACAAAGGGAAAGAGAGGAGGACCAGCTGAGAAAGGGGAAGAGAGAGTCAATACTTATTTCATTTTGTGGAGGCTTGATCCCATGGGGAGGTAACCTGATAACAGTTACACAACTGTGTGTGTGTGTGTGTGTGTGTGTGTGTGTGTGTGTGTGTGTGTGTGTGTTGTGAAGGCAGCTCTGCCTCCTTATTAAGCCATAATGAGTGTAACACTAGGTGACCCCTGACCCCAGAGTGTTGCTGACACAGTACTGTAGGTGTGGTTTAGGAATAGGAGGTTTAGAAACAGCCTTCTAAGACCTGTAGAATCACAGACATAAGAATAACAAAATGACACACACACACACACAGGCCAACAACACACAAACAAACTCTCTTCCCGGATTATCTTCCCACACATGGTGTGTTTGCCCTGCTGGACAGAGGAGCTGTGTGTGGTCTGAATAAGAGCATCTTTGTTGGCATCATCATGATCCTCATCGCTGCTCTCTTCACCACCTGGTTGCCATGTCCCTCATCGTGTTCACACACACACACATTCTGTAAAATGATTTTTAAAACGTTTAGTTTGTTTAAATCAGTTCAGTTGAATGAACACTGCCATCTTCTGGCCATCTGGATCAATAACAGCAGAAAAATCATTAAAATCAATTGGATGGGACAGGGAATGGCTCTGGACCTATCATTTGTATGAACAAAAGACAAGACAACAGTTTCATTCACATCTCTTATTACAAATTGGTCCAACTAACAAACATTGTACAATAAACATACATTACTTATCAATCATTTACTGTAGGTATATGTCTGTCTGCACTTTGCTTGATGAAAATATACTAACTGAATACAATCAAATGACTCTTTGGTCAGTAAGACTTCTACAACGAACATTGTGGGATAAATACAGTGTGCTTCTCTCTAAATGGTCTCTTCTTTAGCCCCTCCACAAAGGATTTGTCTCATCCAACCTATCATTCCTCCTGTTACCCTTCATTTTCTCCTGCTACCTTTCCCCAGAAATGTGAGCTACTTCTCAGACTAGTTATATAGACCTCTTCTAAAAAATACCCACTAAGATATTTCAGTCTGTCTCAGTCTTTCCATCTCTGGAGCAAATATAAAAAAAGCAAATATTTTTCAAAAACGGAGTAACTGCCCACTTACCACACACAGCTTGAATCAACGCTGTTTCCACGTAATTTCAATGAAATTACGTTGGACCAACGTGGAATAGACTTTGAATTGACGTCTGTGCCCAGTGGGTGTGGTCAAATAAGATCCCACTTTGCTGCTACATTGTGGGATAAATACAGTGTGATTCTCTCTACCTTGTCTCCTGTCTAACCCCTCAATTAAAGAGTAGTCTCATTTGCTCTATAATTCGTCCTGTCTCCCCCTCTTCTACCTCTTTCTCCCCCTCCCTATATCTGTGTCTGTGTGCTTCTTGGCAAGTAGACCTCCAAAACATTAAAGTCATC